CCTGCATATTTGTATAAAAATAAAAGCAAATTTTCTGTTATCCATTTTCACTGAAATCAAAACAGAATATATTCTGCAAGAAATGTGGATTTTGGGTTTAATTAAAAGAAAATAATATTAGCAAGAGAGGGTAGGGAATAATTCAGTGTTAAGTTTGTCTATTCATTTATGATGCTTACAGCCTGATATGAAATTGAAATACCAGTTCTCTCAATCACCAAATTAAGCAACATTGAACCTGGTCAGTACCTAGATGGGTGACCTCTCAGGAATACCAGGTGCTCTAAGCTTGGCTATGTGGGTGGTATAATGAATAACAGCTTGGAATGAGAAATCAGAGCCAAGATCAATTTCTAGTCGGATTCATTATATTCACATGTGCAAATACCCTTGGGAAAGGTATGAATCCACCTCTTCTCCTCCCAGATATGGGTTAAATAATAAAAATTGTATCTGAAAACCAAATATTCTAACAATCCAAAAATGTTTCAGCCTTAATTAATTTAAAAAAATGGCATAAAAATAAATCAATCTATTCATTTATGAATACAAATTTAAAAAAATAAAGTAACAAGCAATATATATATATATATATATATATATATATATATATATATATACATATATACACATACATACATACATACATACATACATACATACATACATTTCAGTTTTCAAGCAAAAATAAAGCAAAAGATAAAAATTAATTTTTTTTTTTTTTTACAAAAAGTAACTAAATACATAAGGCACTGACTCTTATTTTCTTTTTTAATATCTTGGTCTGATTAAGTATTTTTCAGCACCTCCTGCATAAATAAATGAAATTCTTTGCTGCACTCAATTCAATCCTTAAAATGGAAAATATTGAACTGACAATTATTCAGAAATAAATGTTGGAATACAAATAATGGTTAAAGGATAATGCATTATCAGTTCCATTTGTTACATTGTTAATATAGAATTAAGAAATTGATATCCCTTTTCTACTTCATTATGTCTATCTTTCCTGGTTTACTTTTAAACAAAACAATATTATCAACAGGCATTTTAACAACTACAGATAACTTTAAGGTAACCTTTTCTGCTTTGTGTCATTATTCTATAGCACACAATATACTGAATTTTTGCTGTAGAAATTTATAGGTTGCTAAGTCACTTTCATTACACAGAACCTAAATTTTTTATCAACATCCTAAAATAAAGCCAATTTTATAAATATAACAATCAAGCTTCTTGTTAATAATTAAAATGTCTACTTGCCAAGACAGTTCGTATCTGCTGACAGAATTAAGTCCAAACAAACCATATAACATATCCATGACTAACTAATTCATGCACAAAAAGCAATTATTTGTGATAGAAACTCTAAAAGGTATGCTTCAGTACTGAAAGGATTTGGGGGAAGGGGGGAATAAAGTTTTAACAGTAATGAAACTTGAAATCTTATTAGTTCTTTGGATTTTCTATATGAGATTAAGTACAAGACAAAAAGTTACTAAGTTAGAAGTTAATGTCTGCATATTTTAACTGAAGAAAAATGAGACAGAATTTAAGATTTTTAAGTCCAACATAGGAAGTACAATTTGGATTTTTTAAAGTTACTAACATTTGCTAAGTCTAAAATATCTTAAAATTAATTCATGCAGTCCCAAGAATTCTTTGATCTCATGTTTTCATCGTTTTTGTTGTTCCATGCTTCTACCAATCTATTTTCACAAACTTCTGTAAAAAAAAAAAAAAAAAAAAAAAAAAAGTTGCATGACACAAATGAACAAGCCACATCATATAACAATTTACAGATAAATGAGTAAATATATATATATATTTTTTTTTATTTTTGTTTTATTATCTTATTTACAATAAAGTTTATTGAGTGCCGTCTGGTCATCAGCGGTCAGCAGGGTGAGGCTATTTACCTGCATTGTGTTGTTCCTGCCAGCAGTGGTCAGCAAGGGTCAAGCTCTATTATCCCTGCAGACAGGGAAACAAGAAGAAAGAAGCTTCAGGTAATGTAAAGAGGCTAGAGAAAGGAGTCAAGGTGGAGAGGAGTTTCTTGTCATTCAAGGGCTCATTTATTCTGGCATCCACACCTTTACTGTTTTCTTCATGTTCTTAGCAAGGTAATCTCTTGTGTTCTTCAGAAGCCATGTCACATTTTACATATGGTGACTATCTAGAAAAGGGGGTGATCAATTCCAACTTTCAAAAAACTGACAAAGAGTCTCAGTGGAAAATATATGTAGAAATTAAAGACATGGCACACATGACACTAGCAAAAAACCCTGTCAAGCCAAGAGCAGACCTGAGAAGTTACATGGCTGCCAATACTTAGCAACACAAAATGTTTAAGCATGTTTTTCAGTTGAGGCATAAAGTTGCCATGGCAAATCATTTCAGTTGGCACCAAAATTGACAAAAACCATTCAGCAAGTTGAAAAAGAATTTTCTTTAAAGTTCCTATAAGGTTTCCGAGACTTGACAGCTAAAGGTGATTAGAGATTACACCAGATGAAACATTATAAGACAAAGATCTGTAAGAAGTATTTAAAAAAAAAATCCTTGAATTACAATGAAGCCTCATCTTGTAGATATAAAAAGGTTTTTGTTTTTGTTTTCTTTCCTGACAATCAACAGCAGCTTACCAGTGAGGTACCAGCATCACTGAGTAATTCAATATGGGCAGGGGGGGATGGAAGTCAATGAAACAGACAAATGAAGGAGATGTATGAAGAAGAGAGAAACAAGTAGAGGCAAAAAAGATGATGAACAGAGGTTGAGAGAACTTGGTCTTTGCTAATACTGGTTACACTATGTTGATGAGGCAGGTGGGCAGTATTAGTTGCTTTTCATTTGATTTCTCTATAAAATCTTTTCCCTAATTTTTTTTTGTCACACGGCACTGGAAATGTGTGTGTATGTACCTGTAAGTATATGAAAGCAATTATGTTTGTAGGAAGTTGAAAGGGAAAGAAAACACAGTCATGGGAACACAAATATGTGTATATGTATCTTATTAATGGTGAAGTTTTCTTCTTGATTTTCTTTTTGGTCACAGGAGTGCGACCAGTACAGATGTCCCTCTGCTGAACTTGATGAAAGAAAAAGAATAAGTGATATAACACTGCTGCACCCAGTCTCTCTCTCTTATTGTCCAAAAGACAAGAGATCATGTCTTGCATGGATGTGGTATCCCAAATCTAACAAGTTCTGGAAAGTGTGTGTGTGTCTGTGTGTGTGAAAAGAGCAAGTGTCTGATTCAATTGGTTTCAATCTGACATTTCAATCAACTTTAACTGAAGGTCAGTTGTGCTTCTCACTGCAAAATCTTATAGGATGGGGGGGGGGGGGTTAAAGGTTGCATCCATGTAAATTTATATACATGCCACCTTTTATGAAAAAAAAAAAAAAAAAAAAAAAAAAAAAAATGGGTAGAATTTTTATAGGTGACTGTGTAATCATAGAAATTGATTTTATTTTTGTGTGAGTCATTTGAATATTTATATATAAATGCATTTGGCAATCAGTAAAATCATTATTTTAATATGAAATTGAAAAAAAAAATTTTTATGAGTGTATGCCAGTGTTGAGCAATTGGAGTTTTGTAGAGGTGCATACATCTTTCATTTTTTAATATTAAATATTTATAAAGATGTGTTGATGGTTTTAAACTGACTGTATTTTTTTTTTCTTTTTAGGAAATGTGTGTGTGCGTATTTTAATATAAAATCTTGATAAAGACAGACAAAATAGTCTTACAATGGCTGTATTCCCAGGTTGAATACAAGCAGAATTTTATTTTACCAAAATGTATTGGTAAGATTTTAAAGCATGTTGAATATTTCACAGAAAAATGCTTCCACATGCATATTAATGCCAAAGTAACTGTATTTTTGTTTCTTTATCCTAGTTTGTAGAATTAAAAAGTAACTTATTTGAATATTTGCCTATGACAATCGCCATGGTTTAAAGTTACATCTTATTAATTGGCTTTAAATTTTGATCATGAATATATGGTCAGAGAATAAAATTATAAAGAATTGTTTGTTTATCTATGAATTTTGAGGTTTTCATCTTTTTATATGTAAGTATTTTTGTACTTTTAAGATTATAAATTGATAAATTAATGTTACTTTGTGTATGTGTGTGTAAACAGCTGGTGTGTATGTATAAAATGTATATGTGAATGTTGATGTATGAGTATGGGTGTAAAGCACTGTTAAGTATATTTAAATAGCAGTGGAGATTTTGTGTATGTGTGCGAACACTTGTTATCAATGTATGTTAATGGGCATAATTTTAATTGTGTGTAAAGATGAACTGTGGCTGTTGATAGGAACTCAATTTAAAAGTTTGTATATTTTGAACAGTTTTTAGAGAGATGTATAACAGTTACAAATAACTCTTATACATACACTGTGTGTGTGTGTGTGTGTGTGTGTTTTCAGAGATAGAAGCAGTGAACAGCACTTTGAGAAGACAACATATGCAAATAAAGCAAGACTTGTTGGACGCTTGACAAAACTTCCTTATTTGATTGGAGAGAATTTATTTTTTTTGTCATTTCTCTCCATTCCTTTTTTTTTCTTGAGCAGAAACACATGAATTCCTGACATGATTAGAAATACCCTTGAATTGTCCATATACAAAGCAAACATCTCCTCTTCTCATAAGAACAAATAATAATTGATGGGAACAAAACTGTGTTGGATTAAAAAAAAATAAATAAATAATGTTTGCATTTGTGGTGTTTGTTAAAAAAAAAAAAAACAAAAAAAAACCCAAAAAAAAACAAACTCATCACTGTTGGCCAGACGGTGGGCAGACAACACCTGAGATCGGGGGGAGGTGAAGCCTCCGATTGGAGGGTTGTTCTGGTTGTGTTGGGGTGGGGGATATGATTTTGTTTGTGTTTGTTTCCCATCAGTTTTGCTTTGTAGAAGTAGCAGCAGCAGCAGAGAAAACATGAATGAGAGAAAGAGGAAGTGTCCATTGTGAAGTCATTCATATTCCAAGATCTGTTTGTGGTAGAACAGTAAATACCTGTAGATTAAAAGAAAAAAATACAGAATGATAACTGTATAAAAAATTTATATCAAGTCAATAAAATATTTTATTTGTAAATACAAAAAATGTAATTATATAGACACATCCACACAAATATATATATATATATATATATATATATATATATATATATATATATATATATATATATATATGGCACCTAGAGGTGGTGTAATGGCTAGCAAGCTTGTCTCGCTAGAACAATTACGATTGAGTAGTGAGTTTGATCCTCACTGGGTACCCCCTACTTTCGGCCTTGTGCCACATCTAAGCTACGCTTGGAAAATATATATATATATATATATATATATATATATATATGTATGTATGTAAGCAAATATATGGATATAGATCCAACAGTATGAAGAAAAATATATGGAAAAACAAAAATCCGAATATGCAATTATGCTGTTTTAATGTTAATTTAATGTCAACGTCAGACATTTCGATCTAGTAGACCTTCTTCAAGACATAGTTATTAAAACATAATTAACATTAAACGATATTCAAGTCAACATGAAAAGACGATGGACATAAGAGTAAGACTAATCAAAACAGAATAACTGAAATTTTTAAGATCAGCGTTCCGTTTCACAATATGATCACGTTACGCGTCACGTATAATATGTTGTGAAAACGTAATTCCTAAAATAGAGTATATTTTAAATGAAAAAGAATTTTATTTTAATCTAAAATTTATAAGTACATTTGTCGAGCATTAATCTTGCTAGAAAATGGGAAATATTAAAGAAGTCGGGTCTAGTATTCACTGTGCGTGAGATAGATATTATGCCTGCCTCATAAATCCGTCTAAGATTTTTTATTATGAATATATTTTAAAATCTTCACAGAATCAAAATCAAAATTATGATCAGATTTAGTTATGTGTACAAATAAAGCATTGTTTAAATTACCGAGGTGAATATCTCGTTTATGTTCGAAAACACGAGATTTTACAGACCTACATGTTTCACCCACATATTTTAAGTCACAGTTGTTGCATGAGATTTGGTAGATGCAAGCATTGGATGTAATATTAAATAACACCAGCAACCAACATATTACATTATATCGACATTAAATTAACATTAAAACAGCATAATTGTATATTCGGATTTTTGTTTTTCCATATATTTTCTTCATATATATATATATATATATATATATATATATATATATATAATAAATGCTAATGTCAGTGTGTCACACTTTTTCAATTAAAGAGACACAACTCTCAATAATTCATTTACTTCTTCTATATAATAAATGCCAATGTCAGTGTGTCACTGTGTAACACTTTCCACTTTACTCCTAGAGGCCATAGCTCAACATTTTGGAATCAGGTCAACTCCATGATCAAATTAAAAACATTCCAGGCTGGATCTGGACCCACAATCCCTAAATTTTGGATTCCCAAGTTTTCATTAATGTGATTATTTTTGTATGATAACAATTTTTATAACTTGGAAATAATCAAAATTGTGAAATCCAGCAAAAGTCACCCATGAAATAAAAATAATTCTTTTGATGGAAAGCAAAGACCCATGTGCATCAAATTGTCTTTAAATTGAGGCGGCAGAAGAATTATCATTGAACTTTTAGGAGGTAAACCTAGATATTAATGCAATACTTAAATGCAGCGATCAATTTTGAGTTCTTCTGTAGTTTATTGTTGCCTATTACATCTACATCTCCTTATCTATTGTGAAGGAGGCCCAATCAAGAGCCCTCTGCAGGGGCTAGCTTTAATGCCACCCAATAGGATGGTTTTTAAACTTATGCGTGTGTGAGAGAAACTGGGGCATGCAGTCCATGACTTTATATGGTTATGAGACAAATCTAAGAAAAGAATAAAAAACAATAATGACAAACTTATTTGTAAATTATATTTTTTTTCTTTTTGACATATTTAGCAATTACTTTGTAGAAAGTATCATGGTGCTCTACCTTTATCTTCTTCAAAAAGGTTCACTGATTTCATTCATTGAAATGTAAACCAAATTACATCACCTATCTTCACTTTGAGGAATGAACGTTAAATTTAATAAGAATAGTAAAGACTTGTAAAATTAGTCATGGCTAAATTAAAAAATTTTATATTCCTTAAATTTCTTTATTTGTACAAAAAATGTACATTATTCAATTTTGTCATTAAAAATTTAACATCCAGTAATGAAAAAAAAATACAATAATGAGAATTTTTTCTAGAACTTTTAAAAAAATTATATATATATATATATATATATATATATATATATGGGAATCCACATCAAATTTATATTTAAAATTATAAAAAAAAATGTCAAATATTACTTTGAATAAAAAATTTAAATACTAAAATAGTGCTAAAAAAAAAAAAAAAAAAAAAAAAAATTTAATTATCTATAAAATTAAAATGAAAACATGTAACTGATTAGATTAGCCAATATCATAGATGGTAAATATGTTTATTTAATAAACCAAATTAAACTCAACACCTCATTGAATTTAAATAGAAACAATTCTCTCATTTCATACACAACCAATATTTGGGGCAAACAATGATGCAGCATCACTTTTAATGCAGAGCAGTGTTTCCCAACATGGATGCTAGTGCCCCCTTGTGGGCTCTGTTATGTTGAAAGGGGGCACTGGGAGTTTTTATTAAAGTTGTGGGAAGCTATCAAACATTTCTTCATTGCTTTTCCAACTTCCCATATGGCTGAATGTGGTTTCAATGCAGTTACACAGCTTCTTACTAAACAAAGAAACCGTCTGCAAATTATAAAATGTTAACTACAATTACTTCTAAGCAGCATGGGACCTAGAGTAAATGTTTTAGCCAGTAAGCACCAAAATCAACCATCACATTGAAAACATAGAGAGAAGCTATCAAATGAATGTAGAGTAAGAGTTTTAGCCAGTAAGCACCAAAATCAACCATCACGTTGAAAAACATTGAGATAAGCTATCAAATAAAAGTGTTTTTTTAGGATTTTAATCATTGACATTTATAATAGAAAAGAAAAAAATATTAAAATTATTTTTGCAATAATACCTAAGTGTTATGTTGCTAGATGAAATCAGTATAATATTCAAAATTTAATTTGACAGCGGGCATTGACAAAAAGGTTTGGGGGTACTGTTTGAAAATGGTTGGGAAACACCGATCTAGAGGAAATTAAAAGTGAATACTTGAGATTACAATGAATACAAGAGGAGTTTACAGAGATCATAGATTTTGTCCTTCATCTGAAGATAGTCTAATTGTCAAGCTTGAATATTTACTTACTGAAAAACCTCACCTTCATATACAAGACTTTTTTTAGTCACCTTTATTTTGGTGGTGGGGAGGACATTCGTATATATCTGATAATTTGTTAATTATAATTAATTATAAGACAGAAAGGAACAAGCTTGCATATATTGATATAAAAAAAAAAAAAACTTTCAATTCATGCATTAACATGAATTGAAAGTATGACTTTCTTTTATCTTTTGATACTGAGAAGAAATATTCAAAAATTCTCATTTGGCTCCTTAAATTTTTCTATAGTCAATCATGACAGTTTGATTCCATGCAAATTTTCGGATTTGTATAATTATCATGCTTAGAATTTAGAAATTAAATAAAACTGTTAAACAAATCCTTACCCTTCACTGTTCAGTACCTCTTGGGGAGTAGCTTTCGTGATCATATGGTCATCACATTTATACCACTGGTCCTTGTGTAGTCGGATATAGCATGTATAGTGGCCTGTTTCTATCGTGCCACTGTGGTTGACCACAGCAAATAGTGAATATCTGCAATAAATAAATAGCAAAATTTAATGACTAGGAAACAAATATACAACTCATTAAGAACTAAATTCATTGTTACCATTGTGTGAATTAAAGTCCAATGAAAATAAGGAAAGACAATGTAAGAAAGAAGCTTGTGTTCATTTTCTTTTTCTTACATGGCTGTTTAATAACCAATGAATTTTTGTTTCTACTTCCAAATCTTTAAAGGATTTTAGAAATAAAATTAACTGTAATGAAGGCTTACTTGTTATCACAGGAAAGACTTTTTGCAGACTCTTGGACAACTTGATTACGGTATCCATTGTTGTTACTGCGTGAGGATGACATAAATGGAGTCATGTCTAACTCTTCTGGGAAGGACACAAATGTCGAGATCTTCTTGTGGTAACCTGTGGAGTGCTCAAACCGCTAGAAAATAAAAAGAACATTTGATAAATAATTAAGTCAAACATTCTTCCTATATACCAACCCCCAATGTAGGCATTTTGTTTTTTTAATATTTTAACAAAATCTATCTAAAAAATGAAATTCTTTTCCAGTGACATTTCAAAAATTACATATGTATTCTAACTTACATATGAATAAGTGTACAGTTTAAACAATTGAAACTACATTGGGAATAACTAACAATGAACTCATCCAATGAGTTCTTCAAACTAATAATCTCATCCTTGTTGAAGTGAGCACATTTCAAACAAAGCATTTTTTCATCTTACATTGTTGTATACTAATGTAGCGTAATTCTTAAACATGAAAAACAAAAAACCCTCCGACAATAAAGGTGAATGCAAGTGAACCTATCAACATCCTGAGAATTGTAAATGATTGAAATGATATTCAGTCAGAATCTAATACAGATTAACTATTAATCTATACATATCAGCTATGAGATTTTTGATGATATTTGACATCTACAGTATGAATAAAACCCAAATAATTAAATTTCGTATCTTTTTGAAGCAATAACTTTTTGTAATTTCTTCTTGTAATTTTTCACGAACTTGTTACACTCATCTTATTTTCTTCCACTCCTCTTGACAACTAACCTCTAATTTTTGAAGATTCTTTTGCTTTATGCTCACCTTCTGCACAAACCTTTTATTGGATTATAGTCTGGGCTTTGATTTGACCATAGTAAAACATCAATTCTATTTGTCTACAATCATATTTTCATTAAATCTGAAGTATGCCTAAATTCATTATAGCGAGAGCTTCATGTCTAACAATATAGCAGATTCAGTTCTTTTGTGGACTCCTTTAAGTTATGGCTCATCATTTCTCATGAAACTATAAGCTTTAACTAAACTTTTAAGACCTTTTGCCACAAAATAGTACTAAGACTACCACTTTCATGTTCCATTATAAACGATATTCTTTGGCAGATAAAATTCAATGAAACATGTGACATGCCATTTATGACCTAATATTTTTGTTTTTCATCAAACCAAAATATTTGCTTCTAAAATTCATCATTCTTTATAATATGATCTTCAACAAACTTGAAATGTGCCTACAAATGGCGAGGATGCAAAAGATGGGTCTTTTAGGACAGGTTTTCAATGCTTCCCTTTCAAGAATTCTACACACCATTCACTGAGAAACTTTTTCATCTGCTGCTGCTAATCCATCAATTTTTTCTTTGGTGATCATTTTAGGATTATTCTCATTATCTTAAAAAACTACCATACATAAGTACTTCTGAAAAGATTCAAAGGATCTGAGAATGATCAGAACAGCATTTACAAGCAGGTCAACTGTTTAAAGCCTCTCCTGCTATTGTAACAAGAATTACAAGGGATAGATCAGCTACCTCCTAGAAATATATGTGAAGGAAAATTAAAAGAAAGACATTGAAACTAGTCATAGTTGATCATATATAGAAATGAAAAGGCTTAGCCATCAAGCTTTGTAAAATGAAGTCAACAGAGAACAACAATGGAGGATAAGACAAATGAAAGAATCAATGTCCATATTTGGCACTGAAAACATCCTCTGCATAGATATGAATACATCATGTGGGAGCCTCTGATACTCATACAGTTCCACTATTTAAGCACAGACATTAAGTTTAAAACACTCCAAGTAAACCACAGGATTAAGGTGTCAGTTAAAACATCTAGTTCCTTCGTAAGTTATGAGTACAATCCCTGACTTTGGTTGTGTGGAATATACACCAGTTCATAGAAAGAAATAGACAAGCAATGCAAAAATGGATGAGACTGGTGAGTATTAACTGATATGAAATTGATTGGTTCATTCTACTTTCTATACTTGGGTATGGAAAGCAGAATGAAACCGATCTACCCACCATGGATTGAATAAAGGGCCTGTTTCAAAATTTTATGAAGATTATTAAGTATAATATAATGAGAAACTGTTCAGACAGCAAGAGGATAAATATGTGAAACACAAGTACAATAATCAAGATGAAGATGCTGGTCTGAATAATAAGGCATATAATAATAACTCTTCATTTAAAAAAGTTCCAACATAAATTGTTCAGTATATTTGGGAAGTAAAAAAGAGCATTCTATTCTTTTTGGGGATAAGGTACAAATATTATAGATGGAAAACTTTACTTGAGAATATATCAGGTAAAGGAAGCTGCCCACATTAAAGTCAAAATGTGTAAGTCAAACTAGTATAGGCTCTAATACATTGTAGTCACCTATGATCAATAATAAATAAAATTAATCAATAATAGAATATTTGCCATGCATCACAAATGAACTGAAAATACTGACTTTAATGTTGATCAATTTGGTGTATGTATCTGAATTTTTTTACTAGTTTAATTATGAAAAAAAAAAGAAAGAAAAAGTTTGGTGCTGTCTGTAATAATCTCTGACATCTAGATTCAGAATTATTGATTGCAGGAAGCCTTTCTGACAAGGGTCAAAACAATGATAAAAACAAAGATGAAGATATTATTCTTAACAACTACATAATTTATCACAATTTTAAAACAAGCATTTTTGCACATCTGATAAGGTTTTTAACCTGAGAATAATATTACAATACATGTTAAAGAATAATTGCAGAAGAATAATTAAGTAGAAAGCCTTTTGTCAAATGACTTAAAAATAATTGCTACATGTTTTATGTAATGTTATGGTTATCTGTGTTGAAGTAGTCTGTAGGCTAATTTTATCTCCAATACTCCCTACCATAAACCATAATTTTATCTCAGACTGTCACTTCTATCTAGCCTGACTACATAATATTATTTACCCAAACAACATTACTAATACTGTAAAAGGAATCATTGTAATAAGTACTGGTGATGTTCATAGTACCCAGCTTATGCATTATACCTAAATGTCTCTACACATTCCTATCATTAACCAAATGGAAAATGCAGAAGAAAGCAGCATAGGTAAAAGGAAGTACCAATAAAGATAAAATACAAACCTGGGACACATAACATTAAAACTGCAGAGAAACTTGTGTTATACGAAACTTACTTTAAACATTACATGCTTAAGCATGCTAAAAATCTTTTCCCTGAATATGCTTGACTGTAATTGGTTTTGTCTAATTTACCTCCGCATCAAATGCTGTTAACTACACTAATTACTTTTGTTTAAAAAGATAAAAAGAAAAAAGTAATTGTCTTGACAGCTACACAAATTATAAAAAATACATTTTACCATTTTCTAAAGATGATTAATAATAACAAAACTAAATATCAAAATATTCCCAAAATTATTGATTAAAAAAAAAAAAAAAAAAAAAAAACTTTAATAACAATTGTTTTTAAAAAGAGAAAACTCAAAAAAGTTAAATTCTTTCCATTTTAATGACCAAACAATGTTATCATTAATTTTAGCCCTCAATGAATTCAATTAAAACCTGACAATTAAATAACCAAACTGACAAAAATCTTTACAAACATATTAAATAGAGACTGAAAAGTAAACATATAAATCAAATTTAAGTATAGAAAAAAGTGACAGATGATGAAGCATTTTTAATTCCTCATGTAAATAAGGAAGACATCCCTATATTTTGCTATACACAGGTGCTTGGAGAGCTGGCTTAAACCACATTTGTATCTATTGAGAAAAGTGGGATTGTCTTCTCTTTAGTCATTGCTGAGTAAGAGTCATGTGACGAGCTCATTAATATTTAAAGAAACATTCCATATTAGGTTATCAGGATTATTGAAATTTTTTTTAAATGCACTGTTAAAATATTTTTTTTTGTAACATTTTGAGATGTTTCTTAGTATTTTCTTTTGACATGGTTTTTAGGCTCATCTGAAATGCTTCAATTGATTTTTTTCAGATCCATTTTTTAGCACAAAAAAAAAAAAAAAAAAAAAAAAAAATGAAACTAGAGAAAGCTGTTTATTGTGTAGCATCTGAACAATATCTAGCTACTAGGCAAAAGAAAATGTGGTATTGTACATTGCTTTAAAGTTACCTCTACACTAACCTAAATTTTTAAAATATATTCAATCTGCTATAAAAAAATAAAAAAGGAAAGGCACTTCAATTAAAAACTAAAACCTAAATCAAAAAACTTTAAAAATGTAAAGATTTTAAAATTGTTTTAAATTTTTAGAATACATAGAAAATATAGCTTGAGAATTCTGGTTTCATAATTAAAATTGTATCACCGCTCTAAAATTTATATTGAGAATTCTATATTAGACTAAAAGTTAATCAAAGTTTTAGTATACATATAGTTTTTCTTATAAAAGTGCCTATGAGTGAATATTTAGTTGAAGGGATAGAATGTGTAGATATTTTTTCTATTAAACACATGCCTATAATTTAGTAATAATGACTGAAATTAGAAATTGATAACTTTAAAAACCCTTAATACATAATTTTCTCTTCTCTAGTTACATAGAATTAAATTGGCTTTTGTGCTGTCAAAAAAAAAAAAAAAAAAAAAAAAAAAAAAACTAGATATCCATAATAAACGTCTTTCACAGCAAACAAGATTATCCTACAAATTGGTTAACCAGACAATTGCATGTAGCCTTTCTTTATATGAAAATGAATAGGGAAAACAACTGTGTGGCAAGTTACAAATTTTACCAAAAGAAATTGATAGACTAGTGACTTACCTTCAGATGAAAGCAAGCAACCACTGGCAATTTTTTCATGGTCAACTGTTTTGTCGATTCTTGATAACTATGGCAACTGCTACATTTTATCTTTGCTGAGCTGCCCAAATGTTCTGGTTTAGTGAAACTAAAAGTAAATATAAATGTAAAAAGAAATAATAATAAGAAAAACTATTGTAAAGTAAAGGAAATAAATAAACTGTTGATGTTCTTGAAGTTTCTCAATTTACAAATTGATGATTTCCAGGAAAATATTCTAATATATAAAATAAAAACAATCAATTTAAAGACAAAATATTTGTTCATTTTTGGATAAAATTCTGCAGTTTTTCTATCAAAATTATTAATTATAAAAATTCATAGCAAATGAAAATTATTCCATGTCAGTTTTTAAAACAGTGATAAAAAAAAAAAAAAAAAAAAAAAAGATACAAGGTAGGTGGATAAAATAAAAGCTAAGTTACCGTTTTAAACATTCTACCAGTGAAGTAGGTTCATAATTCCCAGGACTGTTAGAGAAACCTGAAGCATCAGAAAAGAAATATTAAAGACTTTTCAGACAACAAAGCATAATGATAGAGAGAGAAGTTAAAGAAAATGTATACTAATTGAGGAATTTTTACAAGAAAATGTAAAAATCTGATTTGTCACACCAAAAAAAAAAAAAAAAAAAAAAATTAAAGCTAAATTTAACTAAAAACACTACACTGCAAAATTCATGATAATGAATAATAAAAAGTAAAATACCAATGGACTTTCAAGAAAATGACATCAAAGACATGCTAATTTATTTGAAGTCTTGTTTCTCCTTGAGACACAGAGGTAATGTAGATGTCTTTGATACTGATGGATTGATTTGTATTTTATGGCTTGTGTGGATTATTTAAAGCCATGAGGATAGATTTTTCTATGATTTTAATGAAAAACAGTTGGAAATCAATTTTACATCTATTTTATTTTAAATATTCTATTCTTTCCTGGTAATAACATTTATTAAAAATTTCTCAGATTAATTTAATTAAAAAATCCTACTGAAAATCCCATTCACTTTCATGTAATATCAAGCCAAAGAACTAAATAGATATGATTATTTTACTCAAATTTGACATTTAATAAAGACAGGATGTCAACAACTATTTACAATAAAATCTGCAGTTCACTGTACAATAGCCATTCCATCAAAAACATATGAATTGTCACATTTTTCTATTTATATACTTGTAGCCATAGTGAAATTTTATATAAATTTGCCTGCATATTCATTGTCATCTAGTAAAAGTTATACTTATTCATATAAAATTTGAAGAAAATTACAAGATACAAATTGTTACTATGCAATATTGGCCACCAAATACATTCACTGGTATTCATTTAAAAGTAATAGGTTCTTAATAACAAAAATTATAGTAAAGTCATAATTGCAGTAGTAAAAACATTTTGCTTAGAAGAGCCCCAGAATACTCATATGTTTATGACAAGCAATATTTTTGCAGAGGAGCAAAAAGAAACCAACCAAGAAAGGCAATAAAAAAATGAGATAGTGTTTAGACTGTTGCAGTTTGGGCACAATGTCAATCAGCATCTTCATTTGCCCAATTTTTAAAGTGAAGACCAGTATGAGACTTAATCCAAGAATTTTGTTTGAACAGTCTATAGGTCACTATTAAAAATAGTTAAATAGTTTTTTCATAGTACAGCTGAGAATAGTTTATAGTATTAATCAAAGTACCTTGAGTGGGATTGGAATATCAATTAAGAAAAACGTGTTTATTCAGTCAGAAGAAATTCTCCCAATATGCTTATTTGGAAAGAAATACCATCAAGACATGAAATAAACAATTAGGAATGGCAGGTTTAAAAATATTCATCTTGGTCAAGTCAGTATTAAATGAATCTTACTGGGCTGTTTTGGATTGTGAAATAAAATATTCTACAAAAATTTGCTTTCAGTTTGAATGCAAATGGAACTCTTATCCCAGAATAAAAGAGATTTGATACTTGACAATATTCCTAATAAAATTATTTCTTATCTTGCAGGTACCAGGTACCTTCATTCTCTAATTTTTGTTTTTTAAATTTATAGTTTCTGCATTTGAAGGAACATTTTGACACTGTAAACAATAATAATACACAAGTTTTACAGAAACTGATTTATAAATATTAACAAAAACCTTAGACAATGAACACCAGATAAAGTAAAAAAATTTTTTTTAAATTATATATAATAAAACTTGAACTTACTGATGAATAAAACTGTTAAGTGCATTAAAAATAAATGATTAGCAACAAGTCTTGTCAAATATTTGACAGCAAAATACTTTGACAGTAGGGAAGAAACAAAACAATGAACTCTTATTCAACTATATTTGATGAACTTCCTTTGTCTCTAGACTTAATATTCTGAATAAAAATATTAATAAACATTAATGAAACTTACTTGAAGCTGGAGAATTTGTTGAACCATTATTGGTGTTGTTATTTGTGGTTGTATTGGTAGCATTAGTAGTGGTGGGAGTGGAAGTAGCATTTGCAGTAGCAGCAGCAGCAGCTGAGGAAGAAGAGGTACTGCTTGGTGCTGTAGTTGGAGTACTGCATGGAGGCCCAGGACCCAAATCTAATGAGATGTCCCAGATTGGGTCAATTGTTGTGGACACATTACTTGTAAAGAAAAACATGAAAAATCATGAAGAAAATATGAAGTCTCAAAAGTGATAACAAAAAGTGAAAATATCTTAAACAGTTTTCTAATGAAGCAATCCATTCTCAACAGAAAAGTCATTTTTTTTTAAATATCTACTAAAAACGTTCACTGGATAAACAGAATATAAACTCAAATTGGTATTGAAAAAAGGAAGTTTGGTTACTCTTTAAAAAGGATTCCGGTTGTAAGATACAATAATAATACAATCTTCAGTAGATTTTTCAGAATCCATACACACACACACATATATATATATATATATATATATATATATATATATATATATATATATATATACACACATACTGAGTGTAACAGCAAAATTGTCCAATTGTTAGATTAAGCTTTGAACTGTTATATCTTAGAAATTATTAAAGATATCTTACTGGAATTCTCCAAGGTTTTTATAACACCATTAGATCCTACTTTGAACAATAAGAATGTATTTAGCTTTAAGTTGAAATGATGATCCTCTTGCTGTTGTGACCTCCTGATCCACTTTTCCCCCTCTGCTGTTCCCTCTTTTTTAAAATTATTTACCGTTCTCTGGATGGTTCTTGAATGGACTTTGAAAATGGAAGCCAGAGTATGAATGTTGGTAGCATTACTGAAGACCTGAATGATCTTTTCCCTCTCACAATTGATCAGTTGGGAAGACATAGTGGGGCTGACACAAACTGATTTTAACCTGTTCTCTTTCTAGCTGAATAACTCAAAGGGTTTTTCAGTGATTCTTACGACAAATGGTGTCAAGATAGCTAAATGTCTTATCTGAAAACCTGGAAAAAAAAAACTCAATTAGTTTAGAGGATTTTTAGATATTAAACATTTTGTGGGATGTACAATTATTCCATGCTGTTACATGATTTGGGCAATTTTGCTGTTACAGCTGGTATATATATATATATAATATATATATATTTGTGGAGATTTCGTAGTTTATTTTGTTCACACCACAAACTCGCTTACACAACACTTGACTCTACATTTGAATGATAACTCTAACATTTTTAGGCATTTAAAACAACATGCCTGGCCATGTACAGAATTCCGGAAAATCCTCATTGAAAACACAACTATACTTAAACATGAAAACAATAAACAAAAACTCAAAATTCTTGAAGCTTTATACATAAAACAGTTGAAATATAACCTTAACAAAATAAACTACTAAATCTCCACAAATATTCTTAAATGCCTATAATTGATAACTGAAGCCATTGATTTATACCAAAAGCTAGATAAATGCAAATTTAATCTCAAATGTCAGCAAAGATTTTGCATGATAAAAAAAAGCAGAATAGAGTTTTTATATTCCATCAGTAAATTAAATCATTATTACTGAGATGATTTTGTCAATGAAAGAATTGCATTCAAGTTACTTATAATGCTAACCAATCAATAGTCAAAAGAATGACACAATTTTCTTCAAAACCTGGAAAAACTTAACAGATAAGAATTAAGATAATATTTGTGATGACATAAAACATTTTATCAGATTGTAATACTAAAATGCTTAATTTCAAATTTAATAGCCATAAGTAGAAAGTTTGTTTACTTGCACTCCTGACAAGTGACATCCGACTGCAAGCCACCTGTGAATATTTGATCAATTATACAGTTGCAGTGATGGGGGTTATTGTAAGAGAGGCCATTTGTTCCTACAAAAAAAAAAAAAAAAAAAAAGAAAAAAAAAAAGACATTTAAAAAAATGAGTAATAAAAAACTTAAAAGATGATAATTTAGATATAAAAAAAAATCTAGTAAAAACATTGATAGAATTATTTTACCTTTGCAATGTCGATGCAAGACATCAAGTGCTGCTATGAGAAATTCATGGGCATCCTGTTGTTCATAGCCAGCAAGATGTCGGGCATTGGTCCAGACAAGGTGCAGTAAACGATATGGGATGTGTGGTGCGCGGTTTCCTGAATAAAACTAAAATAAAGAAAAAAATAGAACTTATATATTATAAATTAACTGATTTAAAATATGGTCTCTTTGCTACTCATGAATTACCATGTTTCAAAAACTGAAGCTAAAAACTTCAAATTTAATTATATAATTTAATTATAAGCATTAGTTCCATTTCATCTTCAAGCGAATTTTGGAACTATCTTCACAAATAAAACAAGTGATATAACAAATAACAAAATTATCAATGCCAAAAGTTTAATCAACACAGACAAAACAAAGGCTATCTTAATTCAAAAGCTGTAAATTTCTAAACAGATACTTCAAGAGTGATTTTTTTCTAAAAATTTTCCAAAATTTGCTTGAAGATGAAACAGAACTAACACTTTTAATTTAATTATATAATTAAATTTGAAGTTTTAGCATCAGTTTTTGAAACATGGTAATTCCTGTGTAGCAAAGAAACCATATTTTAAATCAGTTAATTCATAATATTTATGCTCTGTAAATTTACATTGAGCAGTTTTGTAAGAATAAAAAAATCAATAAGAACACTAAATTATATATCTTATTGTTCTTTCTTTTTATTATTATATATATATATATATATATGCTTTAAAAACTTTTTTCTTTCTTAAAAAGAAAAAATAATAATATAAACACTAATTTTTATAAATAATTTAATAATATAATTTTCATTATCACTTTATGAAAAATTAACATAGTGAACATCACAATAAATTTAATTTTGTCATATTAGCTTTGAAAAAAAAAAAGAAAAATCCAATTGACTTCATAAATATATTTCAGGTAAAGATGGAACCAATTAGACATTATGTTTCTACATATTTAAAAAAAAAAAAAAAAAAAAAAATCAATGAAATTTAAGTGAAGAAAATAGATTATGAAATTTCTCTTTGTTTAGAACAAAGTCAAGAAACATATCACCAGCAGCCAACTATTTGGTTAATCGTGTTTATAACAAATTTATTAAATTCAACCTAAAAGGTCTGTCTGCATTTTTTATTGTATATTTTCAAATTTTTGCATATCAGAGTCAAAATTATAGATAAACTGTCTAAAGTCCATATTTTATTTCTGTTTTGTTAAAGTAATTTTACTGTCTCAGTCATTATCAAGAACTGGGTGTTGTCAGTATGGTAGACAAGATTTTGTTGACTACCATACTGATGCTGGTGCCTTTTCAGATCACTGGAATTGGAACTTTAATCACTTCAAAGGGACATCATATTAAAGTTAAACAGGAAAAAATTTATCAAATAATTATACATGTTGTTATTTTGTATGTCCATTAAATATTTTATACACACATACCATCTCCTGTGGAGAAAGAAGTTCTATTTAATATGGGTGATTTGTCATATAATGGCTTCTAAAATGTTGAGTTTTTCTTTGCAGCAAATCCTGTGTAATATTTTGGCATTATCTACTAAAATCTATCTTAAATTGTTAATTGTATTTTGGTTATTTGTGATATCATGATTGATATGTACACAAATTATACTAAGTTTCAACAATTGACACATCAATCTGTGAGATAGTGTGGTGAATGTGCAGCCAATGTAAGAATTTAATGTTTGTTGATCATTAGTATTGAAGATACAATCTTCCAAATGACATGAGAATTCAAAAACAACATTATTTTTTACATCAGGTTGGTAATAATTAACTTAGATGTTTTTTATCTTTTTATAGTAAATGATAAATCTAATGTATTTATTCGAACCCTTAACTGATATATACTGGCCAATTCTTTAATGGCTTTTTCATCTTGTTTATAATTAGGATGAATCTGGTTACAACAAAGTAATTTAATGTTGACTTTATTTTTGTTTATATCAAGATAATTGCTTATGTCATCTTTTTCTAAATTTCTTTAAGGCCAATTTTATTTCTTCATCAACAACATGCTTTGGGAAATTATTGTTGGTTAGTGTTTTAAAGTTGCTTAATTCTTTATAAAATAATGTGTCTAAAGGAGACATCATTTTAGTAGTACAGTTAATCATGTTTTTTATTACTCCTATTTTATATCTGTGAGGACACTTACTTTTGTAATTGAGACAAATCTTTTTCTTATTGATTTATTATATACAGTTAATTAATAAAATTATGGCTGTTAGCATTAACTAGAATGTTGAGTAAAGGTACTCTATTATTAATGTTCAGTTAATAAGTAAAATGTAAGAGTGTTTTTTCCAAAGGTATTTTATTTCATTTAGGCCTTTCATTAATATGAAAATATTGTCAATATATTGAACCTATATGGAGGGCTTGGCAAAATTAAGACAGTTTTCTACAAGGTCAGGAAGTAATTAGAATCAATGAAAATAAGATGTGAGCACATAGCTACACTGTCAGTCTGTGTGTAAATATTGCCATAAAAAGGTACTTACGTTATAAAAATGTGAAGTATACATAGAATCACTTGTCTAATATTAAAGAGGTGGTAGTATAAAATATATGAGTATTTGGGCAGCAATCCCTCAGTTATACAGTTTCATTAAAAATGACTGACAAGCTTTTTATTCAATTTTTCTTTCATATAAGTGTTTCCTTTTCCAGACAAAGTGTGTAAAAACTGTCCAAATGTTCTGTATATATATTCAAGTGCTTTCAGCTCTTCTAGTATATTCTTAGGATTTTTTTGAACTGCATATGTAGATATTTATAGATAGATTATCATCAGCAGATTTTTAAATCTACATATTCAGTTAAAAAAAAAAACAAAAAACAAAAAAAACACATCCTTGATAATGGCTAATAGAACAGCCCAAAGCATTTGGGTATATAGAACAGTTTTTATATACTTTATTTCCAGAAAAGAAAATACTTGTATGAATACAAGAAAAATTGAATAGAATGCTTAATTGCAGTTTCTTGTTAGTTGTCTTTAATGAAATGTGTGTGTATATCTTTGAAATGAACTAAAGCTACAAAATATTTTATCAGTACACTTAAACACTGTATGATTACAGAAAATAAATATTACCTCCTGGAAAAGGCGGGACATCTCACACACCAAGCACTTCTGGGCTTCATTGTCCATCTGGCAAACATGCTGGTCAGCCAAGAAGAAGTCTCGCAATATTGGTGTGTGTGTCAGAGCTTGGACGATACAGTTCATGAAACAAGTGTTCCCCAGATTGATGAGGCCTCTTAAACCTACAGGAGTGAAAGCAAACATTTAGATTGATAAACAAAATCAAAAACAGACAGCACATGTTAAATGAAAAGGTGTTCAGTATACACAACTTACCAATAGTAGAATTGTCTTCCACTTTTAGTCTTTTCCTGTTTTTAGATAATAAATCCACGTCACATTGGTCAGGTTCCCAAGGTGAAAACTGTTCTTTTATACCTAAATGTATAAAACAAAAAAATAGTAATTTAGGATAATTATATTGATAAATTGTTTCTGCAGATGTTTTTTTTTAACTTGTAAACTCATGAATAAGTGGTGTACAAAAAGTTAAATTTTATCAAAGGTTTTCAGGATTTACAAGAAAGCAAAGAGTTGCATTTAGCTGAGTCACATGTCATATTGGCTGATGAATATTAAAGAATTATTAATTAAACATTCAAAAAATCTAATTTAAGAAGTTCAACTTCAATAACAATAACATTTTGGCATTATGCAAGTCAGTTGCAGGAAACCAAAATATCAAAATCTTGGAAATATTTACAGCAGCATTTTGAGTACATCAATACCATTAAAAATGTGCTGCATTTTCTAGTGTTCTTTTTAAGATTAGTCTAATTTATCTTAAAGTTTTTAAAATTATCATGAATGCAATTTATTTGATAAGTGGAAATTACCCTGTAATGTCAATCAAAGGGTCATTCAATCTCCAATCAACCAACAGCTACAAGTGACACACTCAGAAAAATCTGCGAAAATTCACAGGTGTTCCTTGATCCAATTTATTGATAAATCACAAATATTAGATCCATATCTTTAATAGCTTTAAAATCAGAGCATCTTGAAATTTCACTGCATTTTGCTAAATAAGGCTTTCAAGGAATTTCTGACATTCATAGCTCCAAGGATATTGCATGTACAGATTTAAATCTTGGTGACAATAGTTAATATTTACTGTAGATTACAAAAGTATAAACAGCTTAGGTGTGTCTTATGTACTTTTATAAGGACCTGCAATTGGCCAAAATGCAAAAAGATGCTGTCCACTTTGAGAGCTTCTCATATATTCATTCTTGTTATCATAATGTCAGTATTATAATTTAAAGATTGCTTAATTTTTTTAAACTCCTTAAAATTGCCTATTTTGATGATATCAGCAGACCAGTTAGTTTAAAAATATTTGTATATTTTGACCACATTGTTACATGTCTGAAGGTCATGTAACAGAAGTTTTGTTTAATAGACAAACTTCCTAGGAGCATATAAAACTTTATATTTTACTGGTTAATTATGATGTATATTTTTAGCAACAGAAATGTAATGCTTTTTATACACATATGTTTTATACCAAATGATACATAAAATGAAATTTTATTTTTTTTTAAATAGATTATAGAATTAAATTATTGTAATATTAAAAGTGGCTTTTTAAAATACAGACTTAAATATTTATTTCCTTTAAAAATATCCTTAATGGGATTTTTGTTTTATTAATGATCCTGATTTGTGTATATTTTTGAGTGTTGATAAAACTGCTTAACATGAACAAATCATGTTGCATTTTCACTATTTTGACTTATGTATTTAAAATTAAAATAATTTTATGGAATCCTTATTTTAATGCCCTTCATTTATTTTCTTTGTTCAGATAGAAATTTTGTAAACCATCTGAGACACTATTTTTAAGGACCTACAGCACTTAAACTATTTGGAAAAAAGGTCAAATGAAGCCAAAAAATAGTTTATTTGCATAGTAATTTGTAGGAGTAGCAACTTTCAGCTTCATATTTTCTTAAGTATCAAATTCATAAGACACACCTAAACTTTTTATACTTTTGTATTCTACAGTAAACATTAACTATTTTCCCCAAGTAGACTATATGTATACGTATGTTAGGAAACTAATACAAAAGTGGAAAATCTTTTTCATGTGACAAGTTTCATCTTTTATGACTTCATTGGGCTATATATATATATATATATATATATATATATATATATATATATACATACACACACACCTACACATAGAGAACTAATAAAAATAAAGCATATAACAATATTTTCTTTTTTTCGTCACAATACTATTTCATATTCATTTTCTGCATAGATAACAAAAGTTAATGCTCATTTTATCAATTGTTTTTTTTTTGCTAATGTTTGTATCAAACTAATTCCAAGTATTCCACATTTCCAATTTTTATATAATTAAACTGATATTTGTGGAGGTTAGATTAAATTAAAAGGGAGTGCTGAAACATTCTCAGTCTAATCCATTTCCTAAAATTTGGTTTATATCATATCTTTCTGTGAAAAGGTTTTTTTGGTTACTTTTCAGTACCCCTTGTATAATAGATACAAATTCAGGCATCATAGGTAGTACAGTAACTTACCAAGGGAACAAGCTGATCTCCTTATCTGATCCTTAGCCAAGTCTTCCAACTCTTTATCATAGACATAGTCTCCACAGGAAGAACAGTAAACAGCACCATAGGATAGATCCACAGCTAATAAAAGAAAAAAAAATACAATTATTTTATACACAAATAGAAAAAAAACAAAAATAGAAGAAAAGTCTAAGAATTAAGTAACTGTTATTATGCAACTATACCTAGTGTTTTTAGTCATAATAAAGTAATGACAACCCAAAACGACAAAGAGATCATGAGAAAGGACATTGTGTTTTCTGAAAACCTGTTCATTTTGGCATCAATCAATGGTGTAGAGCAGTGTTTCCGAAAATGGGCCATGGCAAATTTCAGGTAGGTCACAGAAATGTTATAATTTTTACTAGCTTATTGAACGGTCCATAGTGCTTTTATTGACTTCTCATCCTTACATTAATGAAATTAAATGTATGTAAATAATTTTGATTATGAAAATTTACTAATTGTTTAGTGTTTGAATAACTTTTAATTAATCAGACATTGAAAATGCCATTTTTTTCTGACTGTAGAAAGAAAATTATACCATTTCAGTAGAAAAATTGTATCTTTATTGGATATATTCCATGTGAAATGTAAATAATGTTTTTACCCTATAATAGCTTCATGGACAACAGAAAAAGTCTGTTTTCAAAGTGGGCCATGAGTTAAAAAAGGTTGAGAACCACTAGCAAAGAGGACAAGAGTTTAGATAAACAAAACATAATAAAAGAGAAAACAATAGATTTCTAAGATGAAACTAGTTTGCTTTATTAAGTATTTACTAGCAGTACCCATTAACATTTCCTGATTTCCCAGTTTTGAATTTTCTGATGAATCATAATTCTTAATTTAATAAATGTATTCCTTGCAATTTTTACAACTATAAATTACCTGTTGAATTTGCATCCTTAAATCTTTGAGCTTAACAACCTGAACAAACTATTGAAATAACTCCTATAAATATGAATATAGTTTATTATATAAAGAAGTAATAGAGTAGAAATGAAAAGATTTAAAGTGAACAATGTTTTCCATTTCAGTGAAGTAAATGTTAAGTGCTTTATAGCGTTACTGCTTCCTCTATCTTCCCTTTCTCATTATGCAGACTTACGTTTTCTCACTAAAACCAGACCATGTCTCATATCTTCTCCTGGCTTTCCTCAGGAAACAGGAATTATCTATTATTTAGCTGGATTAATGGCAAGTCCTTATACATGTGTGAAGGAAGAACACACAGAATTATATTATGATGTCAAAGAACATTTATTCAGTTACAAAATTATAATTCAACAATCTAAACAATATTGTACAAATTAAAGTTTGGTAGACTTGCCATGAATAGATTTTAAGGTATTTTCTCTTTCAAGTAACAAAATTATCTGATATACTAGAATATGAACACAACCTGCATTCAAATACAAAGCAAATTATGAGAAGCTACTGAAAAATATTTAAGACAGCTAAATAGTTCCCCTACCTCATTTTATTTTGTCAGAGTTTGTGGAGTGAGTCATCCTCATGTATCTGGACATTTTCCTTCATTCCAAAATAGCTTAGTCATGAATTATTTAATATCTTTTTTAAACCTGCCATTACAGAGTTTTTATTTCATGTCTTGGTCATCTTTCTTTCCAAATAAGCATCATTGAATATTGGGAGAATTTCTTCTGACTGAATAAACACATTTTTCTTAATTGATATTCTAATCCTACTCAAGGTACTTTGACTGATTAGTACTATAAACTATTCTCAGCTGTACTATGAAAAACTATTTACCAATTTTTAATAGTGACCTATAGACTGTTCAAACAAAATTCTTGTATTAAGTCTCATACCAGTCTTCACTTTAAAAATTGTGCAAATGAAGATGCATAAAGACTGACTGACAAACTGCAACAGTCTAAACACTATCTCATTTTCCTATTGCTTTCTTGGTTGGTTATATGAAGTGACTTTTTTATTTGCTGCTCTGCAACAATATTGCTTGTCATAAACATATGAATATTCTGGGGCTCTTCTGAGTGAAATGTTTTCTTTACGGTAATAGTTTAATATTCTTTTTTTTCTTTTTTACTATAATTTTTTTTATTAAAAACCTATTACTTTTAAATGAATATCAGTGAATGTATCTGGTGACTGATATTGCATAGTGAGAATTTGTATATTGTAATTTTCTTCAGATTCTCACTAGATGACAATGAATATGCAGGCACATTTGTATAAAATTTCACTATGGCTACAGATTGTGATATATAACTTTCAACAGATAATAATGAATATATAAACTTGTTCTAAGGATGGATGTCAGAAGGATTGCATTATAACATTTTATAATTTTAATTTAAAAATACCATTTCAGTTACCTAATTAATCTTATTTTTTATATAAAATTGACAATTTGAATGTTAACCCAATTCTTTCCTTTCCAGGTCCAGTGTTTGAATCATTTATTAAAGAGATCAAAGCTTCTATTGTAGGTTAATCTATTGAAAATTGTTACTAAATCTCATAAAAAATTGTTAAATTCACAATATTTAATTAATCAAATTACCTACAACACAATATGACAATTTGGGGTTTCTTTCTTTTAACAACTCCTTAATTATAGTATTTCTTCAATTTTTCTATTAATTCAAAAAACAGATATTGTTTCTGCCAGTGTTACTTTCTTTAGGTTAATTACCCTAAAATAATGTACATATGTTGGTTGGGGTTTGAGATGAAGAAAAAATATGACTGGCATTTTATTTAAATATATTCAATTCAAAACAACTTAATTCATTTCTTAAAACAATATTACAATTAAAAAAAAATCAACATGTGATGGGTACATGCAAATAAAATGTATTATTGTCTGTACTTTGTTAGTATGAGTAGAGTTTTAAACAAAGGTAACATTTTTGTGTCTTACCAGGGTACTTACCTAAATCATGACCTTTGTTCTTTGCATGCTCATGAATGTGTTTTGATTTGAAACAACCAAAAAACACACACTCCAAACAAGCATGAAGTCTAACAGAGGCTTGGTGACAAGTGTGACACAAACATTTCTCTGCCTGTAAGTGAAGAAATGAAAGAAAGAGTTACTTTATTATGTGCAATCAATAGATGCAATTTAAAATAGCAGTCATTAAAAGAAAATCCAAAAAATACTTTTACAACTTAAAATCATAGATCAAGCTTTTCTATTTGTTACTTTGGAGCCGTCATAGTGAATGGCTTACAACATTATTTTCTTGATCAATTAAAATTCGGACATATTTTACCTCTTCGCTTTATGTACTAAAGAATTATACTAGTACTGCAGATTTTACAAGTATAAAATCGGTCATATTTTGACAGTGTATTATTACAATTGCCTCTTTAAGTTTTGTAGGAATGCGAAAGCTACTGACCACCAGCTACTGAACAAAAACATCCAGGTTTCCATTTACTTCCACAGGTTTTCGACATTCAAAAAATAAATCATCTCAAAGCCATGTGATACAAGTGAGATCCACGCAGAAGACAATATTTTGGGCCAATTGTTATTATTTTATTATTAAATTAATGCTTACCTTGACAGCATTCATTAAGGAATTAAAGCAAAAACACAAATATGAACAAGTGAAATAATTATTTTATTTTTATAGATTTAAATTTTAAATTCGCCTAGTTGCTGATTATAAGCACATGTTGATTATTGTAATTAATATCGTAATACACTGACATTCTGACTTTTAAAATTACGTTAAATAAAGAATAACATACGTTAATTAAGAAGAATTAGGTGCATTAAATGCTGCATTTTACTTTTATTTGCCGCAAATACACGACAAAATCCAATGCGTCAAACAAAAAAACTTACAATGATTACAATAAAAACAAACAAAACAAACATGCTAATGATGAACTTCCTTTTTAAATTTTTGCCAATAAACTAAATATCTTAATAATATCGGGTCTATTTATTAACACTATTTTCAAAAACTGTGTACTGAGCTTAAAGATACGAGAGTGAATTCATAATTTAAGCAAATCGTTTAATACATTGTTTCAATAAAGGGAGTGTAAAAGCTAAGCTTAGCCTCATACAGAACTAATAAGACTGCACAAAAAATTAATCAAGATTCGTAACATAAGATTTAAAAGCAAAATCGAGTGGGGAATAAAGAAACAATTTCATACGAAGCCCCCCAAAAGACAGGTTTTGCTTTTGCACGTTTTAACTAAGCAAGCTGATGTATGGCTGTCGTTGTATATAAAAGAAGTGATTTTTGTACAATGACGAGAATTTCAACACAGTTATTTTATTCAACGATACATGATTTTAACAAAAGAAAAACAGTAAAAGCTTTTTAAAATGGGTTTCATGTTAAGTTAAACAAAACCGAACAGACTGGTGCATGGAGACACAGACGTGTATACACACACATACACACACACATATTTGGTTATAGTACCATGTGTGTGTACATGTGATGATCCGATATATACAACTACTACTGTTACACATAAGGAGTCTCGCTGTGTAGTAGTAGAATTGACCATGTGTGTTAACACAGTTATTAGCGTGATTTGGAAGTTTAAGATAAAATAATAACAGTAACAGACAATAATAGTGTTTGTTGAGTGCATAGAATGTCCCTGAAGACGATACTAAGCAGAACAAAAACAGGAGGGGAAAATAAAATGAGGAAGGAGATGAAGATGATAAAATAAATGAGTATGTGTGTATACAACAAGGGACATCACCACATCCAGTGGACACAAAAGTGAAATCTAGAGTAGGAATATTATACACACCACAATTTTATTTCTATTATTATTAATAATAAGGATAGAACAGTGTTATCATCAATTATAACAAAGGTAATAATAATTATTATTTCTAGTCTTATACCAAAACAAGGGACATCACTACATCCAGTGGACAAAACAGATAGAAGAATGAAATTATATACACTACAATGCTCTTTTGTATTACTGTTTGTAATAGAAATAGTATATTGACTATACAGTTGAATAGGGGACATCATCACATTTTTAGTAGACAGAGGAATGAAATGTCATGAGTAAAAATGACACACCAAGTGGCAAGTAATGTCGATGCGGTATTATTATATTTACTACTAATACTACTACTACTAATAATAATAATAATGTTGTTAGTAGTAAATTTGTGGTCTTATTATTATTATTATTGGTAGTAGTAGTAAGGATAGTTGTGATTTAACGGTAGTATGGGTAATAGCTCAAAGTAAAACTAAACTATACTCACCTTAAGTCTGCGGGCGTCAGCTGATGAGCATGCAATAAAATAAGCGTGGATGATCCGGAATGGTTCTGTTCCCTTCGCCAGTTTGAATTCATTGAGATGCGGGCAGCCATTCAGGTTCATCTTAGGGGCTTTGTACGGCTGTCCCCGCCGGTAATGGTTGGCTTGTTGTTGATAGTGTTGGCTCTGATGATGGTGTGGTCCCTGGTCATGTCGGCACAGTGGCCTGCTAGGGCGGGGACTGACTCTGGCGGCCAGGCCGGACACACACAGAGAGCCCCCAAGAGAAGCCAGGACTCCTCCTTCTCAACACCTTACCAAAAACATGAACACCAGGACAGATACTACAACACCAACCACCCTTAATATTTAGTAAACTGAACTGCTTTTTACTTGAAAAAAATAAAATAAAGGAGAAAATAGCAAGCAATGGCCTCCACGGCCACAACTTTGGGTTATTCCTTCCTTTTTTTATCCTTTTTTTTCCGCTTTCGTTTTCTTCCTGGGGCTCGTTATTTGTTGTCGATGAGTTGTTGGTGATGACAATGATGTTGATCGTTAGATAAAGCCAAAGCGGTCCCGCAGGTTTGTTGAGGGGAAACGCATAAAAAAAAGAAACAAAGCAAAACAAAACAAAACAAAAAAAGAAAAACAGGAAGAGAGAAAAAGATATTGACCCACGCACAACACTCTTTCTTGTTTCTTTCTATCTTATTTATCTATCTCTTTTTCTGTCCTTCTCTCTCTATCTCTCCCTTCTGTGATGATGATGATGGTGGTGGTATATGCCGCTGTGTGTATGAGTTTTGATGTTTTTAGTAGTCAGTGCTCTGGGTAGTGTGCCTTTTTAGTGCTGCTTCTTAGTAGTAATCACAATGGTCAGACTACATACATACATTCATACACAAAGACAAGCGGTTACAAACACACTGAGCGAACATCACAAACAGTGATACACATCCATGTGTAAACAGAGTGGCAGGAGGAGAAGCGCATACCGTTAAAGTAGGAGGAGGGCTATGCAATATACAAAGGGGATAAGAAGCAGGGGTAATACATAAAATATTGAAGTAGGTGGCTGCTACTCCGTCACTGAATAACCTAAGTAGCAGCGGGAGGAGAACCAGCATGTATGACAAAGATGGCGATGCAAATGAGAAAACGAAGGCAGAAGAGAAAGTAGTAAAATATAGGGAACATATGAAGAGGAAGCAAGGAAGAAATGACAATCGAAAATCTACAACCAAGCAAGAGTTGTAGTAAGAGTTCAGTCAACGACAGAGCAGTAGTCGGAGTAAAAGGGACAAAGAGAGTTGCAGTAAGAGAAGATGGAACAAAGAAAGTGGGGGTAGGAGGGGAATAAGAAATCAACAAAGAGATGCGCAACATTGGCTGCTGAATCGTTTGTTTTGCGCACATGTGCTCTTCACTGACGTTTTTGCTTCCGTTTCCGACTTGGACACGTTTGCCCCACTTCCGTTGTTCTTTCCCCAAGATTTTTTTCCTTCCTCATACTTTTCCACTTCCAATATGTCCGTTACCACTTCACCCCTTTTTGAAATTATTCACTAAAGAAAGCCTGACGCGGAAAAAGTATTTGTTTTGTATGCGCTGAAATTTTGTATTAAATTTTAATTAAAAACCGGTGTGATTATTCTATTCTTTTTTCTTCTCATTCCTTCAAACTGACTGACAGTAAAATATTTGTAAGTTATTTAAAGAAAAAAAGAATCTCCCGTCACTTCAAAAATCAATTTTTTCTAAAACAAGAAAATAAATAAATGAATAAAATTCGTCGTTTTTATTCATTTATTTCTTTCTTTTTATAACATTCCAATATTTTTTGAACATTCATAAAATATTTAATTTTACAAGAAACTTAAAAATAATCCACATAAATTATCATAAATTATCATATTAGTAATATTTAGTAATAATTAGTAATATTTAAGTTGAAACATTTAATTTATAAAATTATTTAGTGCATTTATTAAATTTTAAACAAATCTATTGATCATAAACATGACTCAATTTAGTTTTGCTTCAACATTTTAAAATAATTATCAAAAAACTTATAATTAAATGACTTAAGTCTTAATCATTAAGAATAGAAATTTAATTTATGAAAAAGAAAAAGAATTTGTAAAATTAAAAATTTCAATCCACTTATTTGGCTAGTTATTTAATATACAATCCATTCTCGCATTCATAATATTTTAAAATAGATTATTATATGCTATTCTAAGTTACCTTTTAAAAAGTCATTTTAATATTTTCATCAGAGAATCTTTTTAAAATTAGTAAACTATGAATTTATAAAAAGCAAGGAAAATACCATATCTGGTGCTTCAGTTTGTAATATTTTTCTATGAAATAACACTTAACAAATATACCATGTTTTTAGAATTTATTTTTTCTCTTACTGATTAATTTTATTAATGTGTTTGTCTTCATTTGAAACAAAAATATGATCATATACAAACTACTTTAATTTATACTCTTTTATATACTTTGTGTTGTGTAACCTTAAATTTGTTCAAATTAAGCTTATTTTTTTAGTTTACACTTTAACATATGAGTAGTTTCACAAACTCCACTAGGAGGAAAAATATGTTTAATACTTCACTTTTTAGATGAATGATCATTATTATCAACAATTCTCATTAAATTTAAGGAGAAAATTCTGTGTCAAAAGTTTACAGGATTTTCATTTACTAACCATTAGTAGTCTTCAGGGTACTTATAGGGTAATAGGTACCCTGTATATGCAGGACATTCCTTGTATTTAATGATTTCCTTCTATGGTCCATCTGTGTTGACTTTATCAAGACACCTAGAATATCCTGTATTAATATTTTTTTAAATGAATTATTTCTAATTTAACCCAAACGATAAGTTATCAATATAATTTAGCATATAAATGTTATTATATACAGCAATAGTATTTAATCTCAGTTTACATATGTCTATGCAAATTAGAAACAACTTTAATTTAAATATAAATGAGGTGTCCTGTATTTCTATTTGGGAAATCTGGCAACACTAAGTTCAACAAAATCTATCTGTTTAATATTTATTGTATTTTTTCTAATTTTCAAATAAGATGTATATGAATCAAAATTGTCAATAAACTGTCTTGTGGATAGAGTGTTTTGTTTTAATTTTGTTCAAGTTACTTTCCATCATCCCAGTCATTATCAAGAACTGGTGTTGTCAGTGTGGTAGGAAATATTTTGTTGGCCACCTCCAAGCATTTTTGGGGGATACTAAGATTCAAATGAGTCCAAAGTAACATGTGTACAACAATTACACAGAGCTAAACTGCACCAGGAAAGAATGTAATAAATGTTTATACATATTATTATTATTATTATCACCACCACCACCACCACCACCACTTTGTAAGCACATGAAATATACACACTTCAAGTTACCATCTCCTCTAATGAAAGCTATTTTATTTTATCTAATGCAAAATGTTTTTTATAAAATAATAGTTTCTAGAATTTTTAGTCTTTTTTTTCACTGAATGTTGTATAATATTCTGGTATTATCTAGTATTTATCTTATATTGACAGTTGTATTTTAGTTATTTGTCGTGTGACAGTTGATATGTATATAAATTGCACTAAGTTTCAACAAGTAACAAGTCAATATTCACTGTGACCAGAAAAATAATTGCTTTTCAATTAAGCACTTGAGAGCATGAATATCAAAACACTTCTTTTTAAATTCATAAAAATTAATGGGGGTCCAATTTGCTATTTAAATTAATTGCAAGTTGATCCTCCTAAAACAAAACCACACGTGATTTATTAAAATTTTTAAAATTTAGAAATTTGTAATATGGAGTTCTTTTTTCATATATTACTATTGATTAAGCACACCAGATTATAAATTTAAAAAAGAAAACTATATTTTTTAATTTTAAGAAATCATCTTGTATGAGCATATTTGTTTTGGCTTCTGTAGGGGATCAGTTTACAATGAATTTACATAGCAAACTGGACCCTATCTTAACTTTTATCATTTTTTCAAGGGGGATATATTTGTGATCTGTAGTGGTTAATCTATAATAATATAGAACAAAACATAATTTCTGGTCACAGTGGACAACTCCACCAAGTCAACCTATGAGAGAGTGTGGTGCATAATAGCCAATGTAAGAATTTAATGTTTATTTTTTATATTAGAGATACAATATCCGAAGAGGTATGAGAATTCATAAACAACATTGTTTTTGCATAAGAGGATTTTTTGAGAGTCTGAGTTATTTTTAATAATTAGGTGAGATGTTTTAAACTTTTATCGTAAATGATTTTAGGAGAAATAAGTATGACAAAGTGAAAAAAGTTTATGCTTATGCAACTACACATGTACATGAAAGAGAGGCACTGAGAATTTTAAATTTAAAAATAATTTTTTTTAATATGTATTTTGGCTATATAATCTAGCCAGTTTCATTTAGATTTCTTTTGTTTATGTTTCCATCAATTTTGTTATTAAATATAATATTCCACATTGTGATAATAGAAGATCTGCCAAGAATGATTAAATGTTGTAAGAAGATGGACACAAATTTACTGTGGATGATCTAGCGATTAAAGCACTTTCTAAACATTTTTGCCTTAGTAAATTGTTATCTCTTTTAATTAGAATAACAGTTTTTAACTCAAAATTGTAGTTAGTCTCATTATGGTGAATAACTAATGTATTTAATGTGTCATTTTGTAAAAGATCCCTTTTATGTTCATATAATCTTTTATTCAAATTTCTCAAGCTTTCTCCTATGTATTCTTCATGGCAATTATTACAGGTAATAGAGTAAATTCCTCTTTCAAGTTTTAGAATATTATTTTGTTTTGTATCAATTAAGTCTTTTATTGTTTTAGATGTAGATTTTATGTTGAGTTTAAATAAATTCTTTTCAATTGTAGTTGTGATAAAGTTGATGGGTAGAACAGTATATTTTGATTTGTTGCATTTGTCAGGAAGGACCGCTTTTCTATTTTGAAACATTTTATGAGCCTTTTGTTTTACATTTAATATGAAATAGTTAGGGTATTGGAGAAGTTTGAAAGTATTGCCAGTGTATTTCTACTCTCCATGTAAATACTGTGGAC